CTTGAATATAAGATGAAAGGGTGGCCCAACAAGGGGAGGATTTGAGGACATCCAGGTGGCAGAGACTTGGATTATATTAGCATGACATTCAAGGCTCTTGATGATTTGACCTGATCCTTTCTGGGAGTCACTTCTTGACTGGAGCACTTCCCTCATTAAGGATCAGTCCAGGCTAAGTGTTAGCGTTTTATTCATGCAGTGATGAATAAAAAATTAAGAAACTCACAGTCAGATTGATAAACATGACTTAAATGTTTAAGTTTAATGACTTAAAAACAACCAGGTGTTACTTACACTCTGCTAGGAAAGTGTACAGTTTCAGCAGGGCCACAAGTGAGGAGTGGACAACTACCTGTGCCTGGAGGAGACCAGGTAATTAGGTTTCATGGTCAAGGTAAGCCTTGAGTTAAGTCCTGAAGGGTGAATGGATATGCTGGGAGGTGGAGGAGGCAAGGAGGGCATTCCCAGCACAGCAATTTGTGGATAAGCTCAGAGGGATGACACAAGATGGGGTTCTGAATCTGTGCTGTGCAAGCAACTCCATATGGCAAAAATGAAGGAGGTGCTAAGAGACGCAGCTGGAGAAGCAGGAAGAGAGGCTTGTATGCCATGGACTTTTATCCTGTAGACAGCTAGGTGATAATAAGGATGAACCAAAGATCCTATAGTCATTTTATAACACTGACTTCAGTAGCAAGAACTGACTGGATCCACTGGAGGGATCTAAGACTGGAAGCTGGTTGGGCTGCCTGGGTGGCTCAGTGGTTTGGCACCAGCCTTCGGCCCAGGACATGATCCTAGAGTCCCAGGATCGAGTCCCATATTGGGCTCCCTGTGTGGAGCCTGCTTCTCCCTCTGCCTGTGTCTCTGCCTCTCTCTCTCCGTCTCTCATGAATAAAAAAAAAAAAAAAAAAAAAAAGACTGGAAGCTGGTAAGATGCAGGAGTGACTGTTTTCAAAGAAAGGAAAATCAGAGAAAGCCTAAAATGAGGTATTACCTTCTACCTTATCATCCTGCAGGGACAGTGCTCCCCATGAGGCCTAGAGTAAGTTATTTAACATCTACTCAAACTTAGCTTTCTCACCTGCCAAATTACCTGCCATTCAGGGTTACCATGGGGGTCAAACAAAACAATGTATGTAAAGTACCAGGCACAGAGAAAGTATTTGATTATGGGTAAAAACAATTATTCCCTAATACACTATTAGGCCAGGACCTCAATATTCTCACTTCTGGGAAGCGGTGGTGCACTGTGGATGTTTCAGTTACCTATTGCTACACAGTAATAAATTATCCCCAAATATAGTGGCTTGAAACAACCACCATGATTCTGTTGATGTTATTGGGCTCTTATTGCATCCCTCACAAGGCTGCCCTTGGCTGGTAGCTAGGCTATGCTAGGAGGTCTAAGGAGGTGGCTTTACCCACAAGCCTGGGGCCTTGGCAGAAATGACTGGAGGACTGGGACTTAACCTTCTCCACATGGTCTCACGTTATTCCATTATCTAACCCAAGCTTTACATAGGGTGGCTGATGTCCATGAAAACAGAAGCTCCAAGCCCTCTTATGTTCCAGAGATTTATTGCTTTGAAACAACCATCCCCAAACAATTCCAACCATTTATTTGATGTATTTGCATATGATTCTGCAACTTGGGCAGACTGGCAACTTAACTCTGTTTCACATGGTATTGGCCGGGGAAGCTCAACAAAAGCCACAGGATCCAGGATGCCAGGCTTCATTCACATGACTCATACCCAGCTGAGGTGACTGAAATGGTGGCAGACCCGTTGGACTTCTCTCTCCAATCCCTGTCTCATCATTCAGTAATCCAGCCTCAGCTTCCTTAAATGGAGGCCACATCCCAAGAGGGCAATAAAGGAATCTGCAAGGCCTCCTAAGGTCAGGGTATACAAGTCATGCCACATCATTTTCACCACACTCTATTGGTTAAAGCCAGTCATGGGGCTAGTCCAAATTCAAGGTAAATGAAATAAACTCCACCTCTTGATGGGATGACTAGAAAAGTAATATTGCAAAAAGGTGAGTGGAATGGGAGTAGTTAGCTGGCTATAAGTTGAAAAGGACTGGTGTGGGTGGGAGATCCTCATTCTACCATTCATTAACCATTTCTCTCAAATTTAGTAAACTTAGGTTGACCTCCTAATATCTAGATTGTCTTTTTAAATATGGGATATCCCCCTTGTAAGCACAATTTTTTATGATCCACCACTAGATGTGAACACATTAAGGTAAAGTTCTATGGTAATCATCTCTCTCTATTCAGAATTTTGCATGATGCCTGGCACTTAGCAACAGAGCACAGTGCTCAGTAAGTACATGTGTTGAACTAATAAATAAGTAATAAATAAACAAATAAGTAAGCACCAATATTAGCTCTTTACTGGGCACTTCCCATATACTAAGAACTGTTCTAAACACTGTGCGTAAGTTGATAATTCATTTAAATATTAAAACCCTAGGAGGTAGGCACTTCTATTCCCTGTGTTCAGATTAGGAATCTGAGTCACAAGAGGTTGTGGAGTTCACCCAAGACTACACAGCTAGTATGTGGTGGCTCTGGATCTGGACCCACTGGACCTGGCTCCAGCGCCTGGCTCTGAACCACCAGACTTTGCTGCCTTTGTAAAAGTGTAAACAATTGCAATGAAGTCAGGATTGAAAACTGAAGAAACAATGGACCTGGAAAGGGATAATTACCCAAGGCATGAATCATTATAGAAGCATTATAGCATGCTGGTGAAGAGTACAGAGTCTTGTGTCAGACAGATATTGATTTCACGTACAGCTCCACTAAGTACTACTCTATTACTTTGGATGGGATACTCTCCAGTTTTCTCACCTGAAAAATAAGTATAAGAATAATATCTATCTCAGAGGACTGTGGTGAAGCTCCAAAGAAAGAGGTCAGGTGCAGTCTTTACATCACTGTTCATACATAATGAAGGCTGAGTGAATATTCCCACAGATAGGGACAGGGAATGACATGGTAAGGCAATGCTTAAAAGAAAAAAATTAGAGTCAGATGCATCGTGCACATTCTCTCCCAAAAAGGTTTTTTTAAAAAATTTGTTCTTCATACAAATGAATCTAAGAAGTTTGAAAAGGAAAAACGATTACAAGTCTTCAGTAGAAAGTCAAGAGGAGGGATCCCTGGGTGGCGCAGCGGTTTGGCGCCTGGCTTTGGCCCAGGGCACGATCCTGGAGACCCGGGATCAAATCCCATATTGGGCTCCCGGTGCATGGAGCCTGCTTCTTCCTCTGCCTGTGTCTCTGTCTCTCTCTCTCTCTCTCTCTCTCTCTCTATCATAAATAAATAAATTTAAAAAAAAAAAGAAAGAAAGTCAAGAGGAGTACCTGGGTAGATCAGTTGGTTGAGCATCCGACCCTTGATTTCAGCTCAGGTCATGATATCCGGGTTGTTAGACTGAACCCCTTGAGGGGCTCCATGCTGAGCGTGGAGCCTGCCTAAGATTCTCTTCTCTCTCCCTCTCCCTCTGCCACCTTCCCCTATCCCTCTGCCACCTTCCCCTATCAAAAAAAAAAAAAAAAAAAGATAAAATGAAAAGAAAGTCAAGTGAAGTTTCAACATTAAAAATGTCAGTTTTGGGGCAGCCTGTGTGGCTCAATGGCTTAGCGCCACCTTCAGCCCAGGGCATGATCCTGGAGACCCTGGATCGAGTCCCACGTCAGGTTCCCTGCATGGAATCCTGTGTCTTTGCCCCTCTCTCTCTCTGTGTGTCTCTCATGAATAAATAAATAAAATCTTTAAAAAAAAAAAAGTCAGTTTTTAAATCCAGAATGCTATGTTGACCTTTTGGTAAAGGTAGATTATATTAATAAAGTTTTTAAAGGGCCACTATAAGCAGAAAGAAAAGGCTAGGTAAAATAGTAAAGCATTATAAATCTCAAATCAAGAGGACTACCCAAAAGAGCAAAACACAGAAAATGATTGATCTCTACAAAGAAAGAAACAAAACTCCAGCATGTTAAAAAGCTAATGCCAGTTTTCAAATTAAGTTTCAAGAACACTATAAAGAAAATCAATATGTAAACACCAAGTGATGAAATGTTTGCAACCTATTGACATGGGTTTTATTAAAAGGAGATGATGCTAGCTAAGCTAAATAAGTCTGTGATTGATATCTGATGAAAGAAAAGTCATAGACATAGTCACTGGGGTTGTCTAAATAACTTTTTTTGGCACATCAATGAAGCCTTTATTAGAAAATAAGCAGACAACTGCTGTAGAAATAGAAAATGATGCATCTTAAATTTCACGAAGATGACAGTTCAGAGAATCCTTTTGTCCTTAGGCGAGGGAGGTCAGTGGGAAAAAGAATCTGATTGACAACAGTGGTGGCAGGGGAGAGGTGGGTGGAAGGTTGTGAGGCTACTCCTTTGCTTCTATCAGACATAACAACCAAAAAGGGTTTGTTTTTCAAGCAGAAACTAGGTATCTTTTTTGCTTCAAATTATAAATGTAAGTTGAGATAGATGATTATAAAACTGCATTAGATGTTTCATAAGATTTCCATAAAAGAATTGGCTCTGCAAGACTCTGGAAGACTAGAGACTCTACCAGGTGTACAGTGTTCCTTTTTTACTTTACCTCTTCATTTTGCAGCTCCAAGATTATAAATGACCCAGCACTATAAGCATTATTATTTATTTATTTTTTTTGGAAAAGAGGCAGAAAAGACAATATTTACTTTAGGTTTAAAAACATAAGAGTATTTTAGAAAGAGAAGATAAAATAATATACCAGGCTGCTTGACCTTCATGGACTAAAACAATGGGATATTCATTCAATCATTTATTCAGCAAATATTTGTCAAATACATTGTATGTGCCAGACACTGTTCTAGAAACTGGGAAGACAGCAATAAACAAGACAAAGTTTCTGTTCTCCTGGGTCTTGTATTCTAACAGAGAAATACAGACAATAAACAAATAGACATATAAAATGTGAATGGGGCACCTGGCTGGCTCAGTCGGAAGAGCATGAGATTCTCAAGCTCAGGGTCATGAGTTCGAGCCTCATGTTGGGTGTAGAGATTACTAAAAACAATACATTTTTTAAAATGTTTTTAAAGTGACTGAATTCTTTTTTTTTAATTTTTTTAATATTTTTTAATTAATTAATTAATCAATTAATTAATTAATTTATGATAGTCACAGAGAGAGAGAGAGAGGCAGAGACACAGGCAGAGGGAGAAGCAGGCTCCATGCACCGGGAGCCCAATATGGGATTTGATCCCGGGTCTCCAGGATCGTGCCCTGGGCCAAAGCCAGGCGCCAAACCGCTGCGCCACCCAGGGATCCCAAGTGACTGAATTCTGTGAAGAAACATAACAGGGTGAAAACAGGAGGGGAGAGGTTCTGAACTTTTTTAGGTTTTGTCCTCCCCCTTTCAAAGGTCTAACTCCACACCAAGATTCTGGTACATGGTAATTTTTAAATAATCTTTGAAGATCCTGGCATATAGGTCTTTGTTGAATGACTACCAGAGCTATTGATGGTCTCTGGTGAGCACAAGTCTCCAGGGTATTTGCTGATGAGCATAGAGTCACATGGGAGGAGCCCCATGACAGGTCACAGGGACCAAGGGGACTGAAGAACCGACAAAGGAAACATAAGCCTTCTAGGGTCTTTTTCATGCAGTTCCTGCCTGATAAAGACATCCTTCTACCTCCATATGTGACCCCAAGAACACAGGGCTGGGCAGGCTTTTTCATCTGGCCATCTCATGAAGCAATACTCACTCACAGAAATTCCTTTCATTGTGCACAAATCCTGACACTTCCTGGGCCTCAACTAATCCTCAGGGCACCCAGTCCCTCTCCTTTAGACCCTTAGACACAAAAGATTTCCTATTTTCCCAAAAACATAATTATGCTATCTTTGAGAAAGGGCCCAGAACTTAGAAAAGCTGGTTTATACTCCCTGAGAAGTAAAAGAGGCCAAAATCTAGAAGCTTTGAAGAACAAAGAGTTTCTTTCACTCTCTCCCAAACTGAATGTGAGTGTATGAGTGTGTCTGAGCTACTTATCCTCTTCCTTCAGCCACCTGTTCCTTCTGTAGTGGGCCATCACCTTGCTAAATTTATTATTTGAACACTGGGGGAAACTGAAACAGTGCTGGAAGTCACAGTGACATAATTGAAGCAGGTTTTTCATATAAACAATAATGAGAGATTTGCTTTTGATCAATGGCCTAATGTTTAATCGATTATAAATTATAGAGCTAAGTCATAGGAGTGTGCATGCCTATATAGAGGCTTATAGTAACAAATCTAATGTGGTTTCTTGCGTTTTTGTGTTAAAGGCCACAACATAAATGGGCTTTTTTTACCAGTTGAAGAATCAATCATTTTTATTTTTTAAAATAGATACTATTATTAAAATGTTCATTGCAACGCCGGGACACCTGCAATGTCCACAATAGCCAAACTGTGGAAGGAGCCTCGGCGTCCATCGAAAGATGAATGGATAAAGAAGATGTGGTTTATGTATACAATGGAATATTACTCAGCCATTAGAAATGACAAATACCCACCATTTGCTTCAACGTGGATGGAACTGGAGGGTATTATGCTGAGTGAAGTAAGTCAATCGGAGAAGGACAAACATTATATGTTCTCATTCATTTGGGGAATATAAATAATAGTGAAAGGGAATATAAGGGAAGGGAGAAGAAATGTGTGGGAAATATCAGAAAGGGAGACAGAACATAAAGACTCCTAACTCTGGGAAACGAACTAGGGGTGGTGGAAGGGGAGGAGGGCGGGGGGTAGGGGTGAGTGGGTGACGGGCACTGAGGGGGACACTTGACGGGATGAGCACTGGGTGTTATTCTGTATGTTGGTAAGTTGAACACCAATAAAAAATTAATTTATTAAAAAAAAAAGAAATGACAAATACAAAAAAAATTGTTCATTGCACTTAAAACATATATTTTTTAAAGATTTTATTTACTTATTTATTTATTCATGAGAGACAGAGAGAGAGAGAGAGGCAGAACATAGGCAGAAGGAGAGGCAGAACATAGGCAGAAGGAGAAGCAGGCTCCATGCAGGGGGCCCGATATGGGACTTGATCCCAGAACTCCGGGATCACACCCTGAGCCAAAGGCAGATGCTCAACTGCTGAGCCACCCAGGCATCCCTAAAACATATTTTTAATTAACATTTCTTCTGAGAGAAATATGGAGACAGAAGCATGCCACATTTGTTATTATTAAAAAGGAAACCACAGACCCAAAATGGTGTCACTTAGGTTAAGGCCCCAAGTCAGTAATGAGGGCTTAATACCTAATCTAATTGCAATTTCAGCCTCTCCCAGAAAGATGAGTCTTAATGAGGTAGGTCAGGAATTTTCTGATAAGCACCAATGAGGTAATCTGTCTGGGTTTTCTTTGTCCCCCCAAAGGAACATTAGGTAATCAGCATAATAAGATCTCCTGTCCTTTTCCCTATGGGAAGGTGATCTTACCTGAAACAATCCTTTCTCTATTTTGCTTATAACTTTCTTGCTCCACCTCCTTCCAAAGAATACCTTCCATTTCGTACAATTCTTCTGAGAGCTCCTCTACTTGCTAGAGAGGATGCTGCCTGATTCATGAATTGTTTAAAAAAGCCAATTTCATCTTCAAATTTACTTAGTTGAATTTCGTTTTTTTTAACATTATAAAGGGCAAATGAGTTGACTGAATTGTTACACTCAGCAAAGGTGGAACTTGGCTAACCATGAAACAAGGGCATTTCCATGTTCAGGAACCAATACAACTTAATTAAAAATAATCGAACAAGCTATTGGTTACGTTAAGTAATAAATGAATCAGAAAGTGAGTCAAGGTCAAGTACATAGAAACAAATGATTCCAAGAAAAGCAATTGCCTAAGGAGGAATACAAAATAAGATATCAGGCTCACCTACGTAATAGCAATATGTTATTAGCTAGAAAAGGATCATCTCTGCTATTCAAACATGGCAGTAAGACAAATTTGAAATCATTCTTATCCCTATCTCTGTTGCAACCTCTGAACAGCAATAGTGAAAGAGAAAGAAAGAAGCAAAGGTGTAAATCTAAACTCATGCAAATATAAATATACAAAATATAGGTGGAAACTAATACTTGAAGATATCTACTTTATACTAGGCATATCCATTATCCTATTTCATCCTCCTCAAAACTGAGGAGATTGGGCATTAACTTGTCCATTTTATACATGCTAAAATTGTTTCACAAAGAGGTCTTGTAATGGATCTAAGTAATAAAACTAGCAATCAATCAAACAATCAATCAATAAAACTAGCAAGTAGTGGAAGTGGGATTTGAACCCAGGTCCGTCTACTTCAGAAATCCTTATTTATCCTGTTCCATTGACTTGGCCTCTTTTTGGACACTAATTAAATAGGTCCTGGTAAGTGAGATGTAAACAATGGTTCTGGGAGCCTGTGAATAGAGTGGAACAGGACTAAACTTTGGGCCTCAGAGCCCAAAGGTGCCAATGAAATGAGCCAAGGATATCAAATAATAACAACAACAACAAAAAGATAATAATATAGCAGATACTGAGCCAGAATAAAGAGCCAAGAAGACAGTCAAAAACAATCTATCAGAAAGATACTAACCAGTGTTCCAAGAAGTACTGGGCTCTTGTTGGACACTCGTACCTTCAAAACAACCCATGAAAAGAAAGAGGAATCTTTAAGACCCAGACGTGTGGAATGGTGCAGAAGGGAAAGCCACCATCACCTGTAAAACTAGACAGTGACAAAACCCAAATAACCACAAGAAGTCAGGGGTAGGGGAGAACTGGGGCCTTCATATCTCTCAGATGAGACAACAGTAGAGTTAAGAAGAATACCAACCACAGCAGGAGCAACAGCATCTCCTGGAGTAGAGGGGAGGCCCAAACGAGGTTGCAGAACTTTCCTACCCATTGCACTGGGCAGTATAGCATAGTGTCTAGGCCTATAAGCATTTCAAGGGCCTGAAAAACAGTTTCTTGCCAAAAAAGAAAAGAAAGTATTGGGCTCACAACACAAAAGAAGAAAAAAAAATGGAAAAACCAGAATTCACAAATTTTGAATTAAATATCTAAAGATAATATCAAGTCAAGCAGTCAATTGCTGCTAAACCTTCACTCAGTTATATGGGAATATCTTTGATGAGAAATGGCTGCCTTTTAATATGTTTTATATGACATGGGGTGGAACCAACAAAGGAAGAGGGGCTGAGTGGTGCTCTTGTAACCCAGCCTCTGAAGACACCAGCTGGGGCTATCCTCTGCAGCTTTTCCAGACTTCTTCAGCCCTAGGCCATATACAGGAAGCTTCTTTCTTCCCCAGAGCCATATCTAATTATGGCAATTCCATAAGAGGCCTGATCAAAATGGCCAAAGATATTTACTTCCAGTTTATCACTTACACTACTTCCCCCTCAGCATATAATAGTTCCCCTTCTTGATCCCCTCAGCATATAATAGCTCCCCTTCTTGATCCCTCTCTTTTTCCCCACCCGAGGAAAAATTATATCCAATAACATATTCCAGTCAATAACATTGACCTCAGGTTTCAACAGGACCTAAGGAGCTATAACTAATTAGCCTGGCAAGTTTAAGATTTATGTCAACCAAATATAAAGGGAGAACATAGAGGGACAAAGGTTACACTACTTATAAATGACATTGAATGAACTGAAATCATGTAATACTCAGGAAAAGAAAACATAAGGCAAACATTAGAATTTACATTTCTATCAATATAAGATTCATTTTAAAGTATTTAAAGTATCTTTCCTATGATTAGTTCTATATTTGATAATGAAAGATGATCATATCACTGATATATCAGATATGTCATGAAAAAGACTATAAAAATATGACTATATGATTCTAGTTTGTTTTAAACACCACTGTGTGTTTGTTCAAAGAATGAAAAAGTCTAAAAAAGTGAAGACAAAAATGTTTGCAACTGATAAGAGTTTTATTTGGGTGATTAGAATCGTTTTTCTAATTTTTCTATAATAAACATATTATTGCTATAA